TTGCACTATGACAAGCTATGTGAGGGAAGGGATTGATGAGAACTATTTCAAAATAGTTAAGCGAGCAAAACAGAGCACAGTTTGCTGCTACGTTTGTGTATATTTCGAAAGGGCATTTGAGACCCAGATGTTCACAATTCACGAAATTTTTAGGCTTTTATTTGGGGTAGCTGAATTTTTATTTTTAATACAGTGCGTTAATTACAGGATTACTGGTCCTGCTGGCAGTCCAAGGAGCTGTATCATCCATGCAGCATCCCTCCGATCATCGCGGCGACGAAATTACGGCATTCGCTAATGTACCTCCCCAAATCATTAAAGGCAGCGAAATCCCTGTGCAGATTTTGTCCGAAATTCTGCTGAGGATTGATGATATCCGAACTATTGGTTACGTGTGTCCGCTGGTAATTTTATTTCGATTTTCCCAGTAGCGTGGGTATCCGTCGTACCAATGACTAAATACAGTATTTCTATGCATTTTTAATGCGTTTTTTGCATCTGTGCAAATGCAAAAACGCATATTGCCAAGAAGCTGTCTGTGTGCTCGCACTTTTTGTCATCCACTTTCAATTCGAGAACCAGAAAAGCTAAAAAGCTGAAACTTCGGGTGTATTTGGCCACGCCATGTGCAACCCTCCCGTTTTAATATCATCACGCGCGTACGTCCGAGTCCCACGTGCTGACGCTGTAAAAGATATAAAAGTCGGGGAAGCGATCTCGGGGAACAGACAAGATAGGGAGCTAAAACTTTGCAGGGATATTCTCTGTGGATGTGTTAGCTAAAGAATCCAAATTCACTTCCTGGGTGTGCGTGGTTCTTGCATACGGGAACGTCAAGGTTCTGGCGGAAAAACTAACTCAGCAACCAGAAAAGCTGAAATTTTAAGCGTATATTCCCCATCCACGTGCAACTAAAAACCTTAAACTCAACCTTAAACTCAGCCTTCCTCAGCCTTCCGTGCAGGCGTGTGATTATTTTGAAGAGAAAATTACTAACTCAGGAACCAGCAAAGCTGGAAGGCTAAAATTTTAGGGGAATGTTTCCTGTCGACGTTCAACTTAATGATTTCATATTCAGTCTCCAGATGTTCGTAGTTCTCACATGTGGACACTTAAAAGTTTTGGCGGGAAAATGCTTACTAAAGAACGAGACAATTTTCAAAGAACGACCGTTAAACGAAAACTTATGCAAAATTTACGATGATTTAAGCTAGTGAGCATATAAGGTAGGTGTAAAGCAACAAACGTTCATACGGTTAACGATCTGATTACTTCTACTTTGGTGCAAAAACGCATGATCGTACCGACAAGGCTGGTGCGTCCCAGCCTGGGTTTTGATTTATGCAAATGCAGAAACCTGTAATGAGGAGACCGTCTCCGTGTTCACGAGTTTCGCGGATCTTCCTTGTTTTTTACTTCTGCCGGGCAAGAGCTTAGTTTGAATTTCGATAGCCGTGCCTCCGTTCAGATTCCTCGAAGTTAAACCTTCTAAATTCTAAAGGTGTAAGCCCGAATAAGTTAGAATAAAATTCGCATTTTCAGTGTATTACACAATATTGCACAAATATTGCATGCTTGTGCAGGTCCCCTGGTTATTTGTGATAATTTTTTTCTCTGTGGGATTAGGCCTGTGGCAGTTCAACTCTTTTGTAGGGCAGTGTACACCCTCGGCAACCATTAGCAAGAATTCGTGCTGACCCGCGTGTTAACAGCACAATCTATCATATTAGCGTGATGGTTTGTTACCTTTCCATAGGCTGTTTCAGGTTTGCCGTCAGTGGAACGATGTTTTAATGGCGCCCGGTTTTTGGATCAACTATATGCAATACCGATCAGTTACGTTGCCCCCTCCTTCGCTACGAAAAATCCCAGAACTGAATATCAAAAAAGTTGCATTACTTCAGCCCTTTGGGAGAAATTTGTTAACCAATCCAAGTGGTGAAGAGGCTTACAATGGTTGGAGAATAACAAGTAATGGCGGCAGTGGGTAAGGCATAAAACAGTTATAAGAAAGAAAAGATGCAGAGAGAAGGAGAGGAGAAGGGAGGGGCTGCCTCATGGGCTTTGCAAAATTATTCGTTCTGGAGAAAAAAAAATATGAGAATTTCCATGGAAGGGCACAAAAATTAAAAAGAATACGTGATTCAGGCATGAATCAAAAAAGTTGGGGAGAATTTTGGCAACACACTGCGAAATTTGGTTTGACGGAAATTGGGATAGGCTCGGATTTAGCTAAAAATTCTGAGGATGCCATCGTAAAGCAATTGATGTACTCCTTGAAGAAAGCTTCGCCCATTCTGTTTCGCATTTTGAAGTAACTTGGGACCTGTATTTAGCGTTTGTTACTTTGATAAGGCACAATAGGTTGGCATCTAAGCGTTCTGTCGCACAGGTTCCAAATTGAATGCCCACCAGAAGGCTGCTCAAGCTGCTTGGAAGAGGATATTCCAGTTGCATTTGCTACAAGCCATGACTGGTGTAGGAAACACCAAATCGTCGATCTCTGGAAAGAAGGAATTGAGGTAAGATAAACACTGAAGAGCTTCGCCGAGATCCTTAAAATGGAAGGGATATGCTTACCTAGTTCTGATAGCAATGACCTGCGGTGCGTGATGTGGGCATTAACAAAAGCCAGCAGTGCAACGAGGGAAGCTTAGAAACTTCCCATCGGAAACATGTC